CCAAAATTCCTTTGAAATTTTAATCACCCCTTGGAATTTTTGCCTGCTTTTTAAATTTTTCTTTTGAGTCTTTCTGTATACGAGGCTTAAACCCCCTGATCCCCCTTTTAAAAAATTCTATTTTTTTTAGTTCCGCCCCCTTTTTCTCGTTTAGGGCACACGCTTTTTTTACTTGGACCATACCCGGGGTTTTATGGAAAGGACGGGAATTACATTGAATTTCCAAAGAAAACCGCCATGAAACATCTCGGATGTTTCAAAAAACAAAATTTTCCATTTAAAAATTTAAATTTAATTCTGCTTAAACCCGGGGGCAGGGGGCTGGGGAATTTTATTTCCATACCGTCCCTAACAGCTCAATAAAACCGGTTTTACTTTTAATTTTTCCAGTGTTTTGGGTTTTTTCAGAATTCTTTTTTTATCTATTTTTTTAACTTTCTCCAACACAGTTTAGTCCTACAGAAAAAACCGACGCACCGTTTAGCCGAGGAACCGATAAATGCCAAGAACGTTAATCAGTAAACAAAAACATACTGTTTTACAAAAGGCAAACAAACAAATTGTACATAGAATAAACTATAATGACCATATTGAAAGTAAAATATTGTTTATGGATTTGAAACATAAAATATTTAGGATACTGTAAAACACTTATTATTCGCGAGAAATTAATTTTCGCTAATATTCGCGAGTTTTCTAAGACGCGAATTCATATTTCTCGCGAATAATTCACTTTGTCTTTACACTTGTCCGAAAATGAATACTATCCAAAAATGCGAACACATGGATATATATGTTCGGGAAAGTATCGAAACCAGTTCTAGTTACACCATGTAGCTATTTAAGTGTTTCAGAATAACTGTTTTGGTATTTGGAACAAATGCTTAAGCACCTGCGAGTTGTTTGTAACATTTCTATTTGTTGTATCCTATTGTATTAAACTACAGTTTAAGCACTTCCTCTTTTTGTGCTTGACCATTGCATGAAGTTGTTTTCAATTCCAACCAGTACGTTTTAAGTAATGCTCCTGACAAGGGAAAGTATCAAAGGGCAGTAACTCTGTATTTTGTCAAAATGGAGTTATGGCTTTTGTGCACTGCACTTCCTTTTAATGTCATTGACAACTGTATGAAGTTGTATTGAATTCCAAACAGTAGTATTCAAGTTATGCTCTGGACAACGAAAAGAAACAAAGGGTGATAACTCTTTAATTAGTCATGATGGAGTTATGGTTCTTGTGCACTGCACTTTCTCTCAATGTGCTTGACCATTGCATGAAGTTATATTGAGTTCCAACCATTAGTCTTCAAGTTATGATCCGGACAAAAAAGGCAATGGAAAAGTAACAAAGGGCAATAACTCTGTTATTACTTTAGATACAGTTATGGTGCTTGTGCACTGCACTTCCCCTTATTGTGTTTGACAATTGTATGAAGTTGTTTTGAATTCCAACCAGTAGTTTTCAAGTTATACCCCGGACAAGGAAAGTAACAAAGGGCAATAACTCTGTAATTAGTCAAGATAGAGTAATGGTTCTTATGCACTGTGCTTGACCATTGTATGTAGTTATATTGAATTCAAACCACTAGTCTTCAAGTTATGCTCCGAACAAGGAAAATGCAACGGACATCTGGACCGATCAACCGACCGACCGACCACCGGGTGACTCCTATAAACCCTCACCCACCCCCCCCCCAAAAAAGTTCGTTTTCGGGGGTATAATAATATAAATCTATATAATTTCAAAAAAATGTTCAGACATAAAGAGTAAAAATTCTTTTGAATGTACCTGACAGTATACTACTTGTGTCGGCAAAAAAAGATACTTTCAAAACATCGTAAACCACGCCAATATATAAAAGCTAGTAAAATGATATCTTGCACTTTCCAGTACCGTCTATGAACAGGCTCAATCAAACCGAGTCTGCAACATTTTCAATTTTGCCGTGTTGGGCTTTCTTTAGGGATACTTTTTTCTCTATTTTATGGTCACATCACTGTTATTTGTGCCGTGTGGTGGCCGTAAAAAGTCTCTCCGTACATTTAATCAAAGATGTTATATTTTCGATCCTTGACGATCGCTCAGCACGACATAATTGTTGTATTTTACATGTTATGTGATATTTCAGATTCTTCTTTTTGGCCTTTTTCAACTTGAGTGGTTCCAGTATTCCTACTTGAATACTGTCTAATCACCCTTAGGATATGTTGCCTGCTTTTAAAATTGTCTTTTGACGGCTTAAGCCGGTGCTAGGTGGCGTGGACGGTAACTTGCACTTTCCAGTACCGTCCATGAACAGGCTTAATAAAACCAAGCCTGGAACATTTTCAATTTTGCCGTGTTGGACTTTCTTTAGGGATTCAGTTTTGTCTCTATTTTATTAAATAATTATAAAAAAGTCACAAAAACCAAGTTGTGAAACACGTAAAAAGAAATTCGTTATTAACTGAATTATATGTTTACGTATTTTTGACTGTGCCACTTGGTTGTCATTTTAGAGTATCAAGTCATTAAGGCATTACCAATAAAATCTCTAGGCTGATCTATTATTAAATTTGGACCATAAATATTTTGACAGCTAACAAAAGTGACGTAATTTGATGTAATATTATAACTCTAAAATATGCACCATGGTGATTTATGATATCACAGCTATATACAATATATGAACATGTTATGTCCCAGTGGCGCTTAGATATGAACATCTTTTTATTTATGCAATAAGTCATTCGGAAAAGGTCTTAATAAGAATAGATTTGTAATATCAAAATGATCTTATTATCGTCTGTTGCGAATCTAAAGTTATAATAGTCATAGTTTTCGTTCTTTAATCAATATTTATAAAATTATATCCATCACTGGTTCTTTAGAAGTTTTTTTATATCATGGCATAATGGAAAAGAATCAGAATGAGTTGACAGAATGCATTCTGCTATTATTCTATTAAAGCTTGAAAAGACATTGGAAATCTTATTTTCATGTGTGTCACAAAGACGCCGGAAAATAAAGAAACTAGAAAATGACCATTTACATTTATACTGGGTAATTTCAGTGTGAATGGATGTTTATTAAATATTAGAATATGATTTAGATCTAGTTGCTAGCTTTTTATCCGGGCATTAGAGAAAATCAAATAAATTTATATATCCACTTTGAAATTCCGTTGTTTTACCCGTAGCGAGAATTAATCTCAATCTTTGTTTTTGCATTACTTTTTTATTGTCTTGATATTGAATTTATGTATGCATAAGTAAACTTTTTCATTTTATAATCAAAATTTAACGATCAGTATTTACGCATTTAACTTTTCAATAAGCTAACATTCTACGCGGTCTGTATAGTACAATCCCCCATCTACGTCACATCCGGTAAGGGAAGAAACTCTTCCCTGACTTTTATCGCTTAAACGAAAAGGTCTATAATAGTTACATAACTTTAGAATGGCGGGAAAAAATACATTAAAATATGTGTCTTTTTAAGAGTCTTAAATATAGAAGTATTTTTTATGAGATAAGTACTTTTTTTATATAATAGTGATATTTCCTTTAGCGATATATTATATAAAAGCGTAAATTAGAAAAGGAAGTAGTACTTGAAATATATACATACAATATTATTTTAAACATATATCATTCGGTGTATGCTCATTCCTTCTTGTTATTGTGTTTGTAATTTTCTGTATCCAGAAAGGTTTTTTATAGACTGTCAATCTTTTTAATGATATATGGACAAGTTATGAAAAATCAATGATATTATAATGATTCAAATTTAAGGTTTGAGGCAACATTTTTGGAAGAGAGGGATTTGCAAGTTGCAAATATCAAATGATTGACAATTCATACGAATTGAAACTGCTTTCTTAGTTTTCCCAAAATATTACATATTGCATTTATTACAAGTAATAAGGTAAACGACATAATATTTGTGACCGTATTTAACATAAGTTAATTTGTGTGATATGTTACTCATTGCTAAAGCAAGGGGACCAGAGAGTTTGTTAAAAATTCCGGAAAAAATTATTATGACTAGATATTGAACACTCGGACGTATCAAATATTGTTCGTCTATAAGCAAAATCAGGTTTTGTTATATATCTTACACCTGCTTTTTAGAAAATTTCAAAATATCTCAATATTATTATTTATTTATTAAAACCCCCACATTTAGCAAATCGAGTCATACACTATACTTGTATGTATTATTGATGGTTCTTTATGTTACATTACACACATCAAAATTTCAAAATGTAAACGGTCTAACAAGAACGAAAAGATTCAAATAAAAAATTATAAATATAAGGATCTCATTTTGCTTGTAATATTTTGTGAATAATTTAACACGATTCCACACCTCCAAAATATTGCAAAAGTAGTTTCAAATGCATGCTACAATGAATGTTATCCATGACTGCATGCAAGTATGTAAACATTTTAACATTAATTGAACAATAAATATGATTTTTAATGACGGCATGTCAAATTTTGCGACCTTTTGGTCAGAAAGTAGAACTATTGATAGATTTCGCCAGCTGCTGTAAAAGTAGTTATAAATACAAATGTAGCTTGTCGCTATGGTAATAAAGTGATTACGTCACATTAAAAAAAATCAAAAATAACTTAAATATATAATATATAATTCTGACTTCGTTGGTTTATAAACGTATGATAATAAGAATAAATGACAATTATCTATATATATATATATATACATATATATATATTTATATATTTTTCATATTATTATTATATATACAATTATATTGGATCGTCGAACATGTAAGCTGTTCATGTTATTTATGTTCTTTAGATATTAGTTGTTCATAAGATAATACAACTTTCTTATATTGTTTATATAATTAACTCGGATATAGCAAACTAACTATCATGGTCTGAACTAGTTTGTTATAACCGAGTTTCATTGAATATTAAAACATTCACTTTTTCAAGGACATATACTATTATTAGCCGTGCTGTTACAACACTTGAAGTGAAAACACTACACACACTTTATGAAATCTGTTTTGATAGTGAATTGCTGTAACTTGTGTTATACCTACAGAAATAGGGAATTATTGTGACTTGTGTTATTAATACATAAAGTTTACTATCTTAGCAAAATATTATCAAAGTTTATAAGTTCCTGCAAGTTATAATGACTAGGTATTTGAGAATTCTAAAGAAATATTTATTTCGATTAATTTAAGATCCGTTTACAGAAACAAAATAGTAAATTGGAATTCACAATTTATGAATAACCTTGTTTCAGGTTCTTAAAAGTGTTCTCAGGAGTATACATTTAATGTTAAGGTCTTTAACATGGACAATAATAGTCTTGTAAATGTGACGGAAGGTAACAATCATGTTCAAAGTAAAAATCAAACGGACAGGTCTTCATTTGAGGTAAGAAAACGGAAATAATATTATTATACGGATATATAATATATTTATTAATTAATATCTGATTTCTTATCATTGGTATGAACATACGAAGTGAAAATAAATAATAAACCAGGGTAGTCAAAGTAATAGTATTCACGTGGTGAAGTGAATTTTGATTACATAGTTTTAACATTGAGTAACAACTTGTTACATATATGCTGAAACGTATGCTATTATATCTTAAATAACATAATTAAATTATTCGGAGTAATTCCATTTAATTAAGCTTGTTGACTGAAACTGTATACTATACTATTTTTGTAATACTTAAAAATTGCTTTTCACCATTAACGGTTTGATATTAGGTTATGTTTTATAGTTCTATATCCGACAAAATTTCCATCTGCAGATTTTAAAGATATGTTATTGCCTTCATCTAACTTATGAGGAGATGATTTTTTATGAAGGTTTTCAAAGTAATATTTTAGTAAAATTATCTTCAAACATTCTCGCCTTAAATATATAAATAAATAATAATAATAAGTAGGTTTGATTTACTTAACAATTAGACATTCGAATTCATACATAAACGTTGAGTAAATTACTAAAATCGTTGGCAAAAGTATTGACAAGAAGGAAGATATACGGACCCGTATATAAACACCTCGTTCTTAGCTTGATTTGCTTTTGAAGCAGGTATTGGCAGAAATATTTGACATTAACATAACATGTAATACTCTCACAATTAAGATATGGAAAAAGAAATATAATTATGGTTAGACTCAAACGAAAAAGGTGTAAGTGTGCATCTGGTTCCGAAAATATATCAAAAATGAAAGAAATTGTGAAAAAATGATAGATTTACAGTTGGCGATATTGCACGAAAAGTTAGTATTTCACTTGTTTGAATCCTGCCTGGGACTTTAGATTATGATAATTTGCTAGCTCACGGAAATCAGTAGTTCTACTTAGGTGCCCTGACAAAGGGGCATCTTAGGTCTTAATTTATCGTGTGACCATAATTATATTTAATAATCGTACTGGTATGACTTTGAAACAAACACAAACAACCAATTGTAGATATATATATAAATGAAACACTGTGGAACACTTTACATCTGGAACACTGATATTTCCAGCTGGAAGTATATCAAATTAATTGGATCAGTAGTTCAAAAAAGAAAAAAAAGAAAACATAACGGCTCTAGGCATTACTGAACGTAGTAAAAGCTGTCACTTGTGCGACATAATATTATAAAACTTGGGACATTGATATATGTTTCATGTCTTTTCATATTCCCAAGTGTAGCTTAAGGACACTTATTATGAGCGAAGTTTACAGCGTGCCTCCTGAAAAATCTGTATTTTTGTAGCTTTATTAATATGAAGTTGGCTTAAACAAGTTTTGGTTCAATCAGTTTTGAAAATAAACGTGCCATTCTCAGTCGATGTGATATTAGCGTTATAATGAAGTTTAATAGCATTACGTTGCTTCGTTCTTCAAATTGAGGTCATTTTTGCTACACAATTTTACGAAATTTTGATGCATATAACCGTCGTTAACAAACTGTTGATTTGACTTCATGAGTTAACTAAACATCATGCCATGATAGCTCGCCCGGTTAGCTCATTAGGTAGAGCAGTGGATTAGAAATCCATAGGTCGCTGGTTCGATCCCGGGGCTGGGCGAAAATTTCTCCGTGACAATTGATCATGGACACCGTGTCTAATGGCCATTTGTCTCTCACCTCTGATCTAGAGTAGATCATGTGGGATAGTAGTCAGTCACTAGCGGAGAAGTTGGTAAGTACTGGTTAGATATCCGGGAAAGCCGGTTAGGTGGACTGACCGCCGAGATATGACCTAAACAGATGTTAAAATCGGAGTAAAACCCTATACAAACAAACAAACATGCCATGGTACCCGGTTCATTAAGTCATGTTAACAAGAGAGTTCGCGCTAATACTACAATTCTTAAAAACTATTTATTCGAGAAAATATTACAATGGAATCAAAGTGCTTTTTGAACCGCGTTTATCATATTCCCATGGTTAAAGGGGTTTTGCGAATATAACTGCTCTCTTATCTTTTTATTTAGAAAAAAATAGCAAAATTATCATGTTAATTTGACTGCTCATCAATATTGTTTAGCCTCGTCTACAAACTTTCATGACAGTCGTGTATAAATCATAAAAACTAGATACACACGATCTTCAGATCTTGTTTGAGATTTAATATAAAAAGCACATTTGAACAAAACTTTATTTGTTTTAATGGCTCTATTGTAGCTGTTCATTAAGGAATTCATTCTTCTCTTACATTCTTCTATATTTTTGCATAAAAATAGCATAGACATATCCAATCATCTCTTGATCTCTTTGAATGTTTAAGGCAGTTTGATTTAATAAGTGAGTAGCAATTGTAGCAAGTGTATACAATTTTTATATCATAATATTTATAATAAATGTTTATGAGCGATGTGAACTTTGCATTGTAGTGAAATAAATTCTTAGTAATTGTTACTTCATGTATATGTATATACATTATCATCATGATAATTAGAATTCAGAATACGATGACTGAGTTTGCAGTTAAGTTAATACATTCTTGGTATTTCTATCAAGTGCATATATCTTAGTTTTTATAGTTAAGATATATATACAAAATGAAGATATATAATGTTCAAATTTGATATTTGTACAAAAACCCTGAAAATTACCGTGCAGTTTATTTTCAAATATAAAATAAACATATTTTGAATACACGCTGATAAAATATGTACCTTTCTCACCTATACACACTACAGGTATTCACAGAAAGATTACATAGTGTCATTGAAAAACTGGCAGTTTTTATAAGAACATACCAAAATAAGTTGGCAAGTCATAGAGAATGCAGCTTCCCAAAACTTTCACTTATTCATATGAGACATATTCAGGACGAATTTATTAGATTCCAATGAATTTATACTATAGGTATTTTACCAAAAGATGAACATAATAAAAATATCTTTAAGTTAATTTCGCTGTCAATCAAAGTATATTATTTTGCTGACGTTACCGTTAAAGGGAATTTACATGAACTCTCTCAACCTCTTTGTGATTTGTTTAATGCCTCACTTCTTCGTCGTAAAGTACCATCGACATGGAAAGTAGCTCATGTATCTGCAATTTTTAAAAAAGGTGACTCCTCTCTTCCAAATAATTACCGCCCTATCTCTCTTCTTAATACAATTGAAAAAGTTTTTGAGCGGCTAATATTCAAACATCTTTTCAACCATCTCCAAGCTAACAACTTTCTTACTCCTGTTCAATCCGGCTTTATTCCTGGCGACTCTACTGTTAATCAACTTGTTTTTATCTATGATACACTGTGCAAAGCATTTGACAATGGTCTAGAAGCTCGGGTTATTTTCTTTGATATCAGTAAAGCGTTCGATAAAGTCTGGCATAAAGGTACATGTATACTTTCAAAACTCAAATATGCAGGTGTTTCCGGCAGCCTCCTCGAATGGTTTTCTAACTATCTCACTAATAGGCGTCAACGTGTAGTTATATCTAATTCAAAATCATCTTGGGGTACTCTTTCAGCTGGAGTACCACAAGGTTCTATTCTTGGCCCTCTGCTATTTCTTATTTTCATAAATGATATTGTTCTAGATCTCCAATCATCTGTCAACCTTTTTGCTGATGATACAAGTCTCTATATTATCATAGAAAATCCACTAGTCGCAGCTCAACAGTTAACAAACAGATATACAGACAATCACAACATGGGCAGATAATTGGCTTGTCACATTCAACCCATCAAAGACAGAATCACTTATTGTATCTAGAAAACATAACGCAAAACCACCCTTCTTTATATATGCTCAATCAAAATATACCAGAAGTTAACGATCATAAACACCTAGGAATTATTCTCTCTATAACTGTAATTGGCATTCACACATTGAATATATAACCGAAAAGGCTTGGAAGCGCGTCAATATAATGCGAAAGTTGAAATATTCTTTGGACAGAAAATCTCTTGAGATAATTTACACTTCATTCATTCGTCCTATTCTTGAATACGCAGACGTCATTTGGGGAAATGCTTTTCAATATGAACTCGAAAGCTTAGATAAGATTCAGAATGAATGTGCTAGGATTGCTTCAGGTGCGACAAGATTAGTTTCTATCGAATGCCTTATTCAAGAACTTAATTGGGAAACATTAGAACAAAGACGGTATAATCACCGATTAATTTTGTTTTATAAAAATGCATAACAATTTGACTCCCGACTTTCTCTCTTCCTTAATTCCTGATCAAACTAATACAAGGTATAATTTACGTAACTCTGATAATACTGCTGGAATATATGCGCGAACTTCTTTATACTACAACTCCTTTCTTCCCTCTACTATACGCGATTGGAACAACTTACCAACCGAAGTTCGGAACTTACCACACTTTCATTATTCAAGAACTTCTTAACACGTAACAGGAAACGCACACCAAAATACTACTATTCTGGTAACAGAAAATTACAGGTTCTCCATACACGTCTTCGCACAAAATGCAGTTCTTTAAATATCATCTTTTTCTAAGAAACATATCACCCTCACCTTTATGTGAATGTGGTCAAGTCGAAAGCAACTATCACTTCTTCTTTGAATGTTATCGCTACAACTTGTACCGAAATGAATTATTTATTAATATTCAAGCTTTTGATATCAATCTCGATATTCTTCTCTTCGGAAACCCTGGCCTATCAGATGATGATAATTCAACAATATTCTCTAACGTGCAGTCTTTTATAGCAAAAACTAAAAGATTCCTTTAACGATTTAACACATAACAAATAATTATGAGACTCTCCTTCCCCTTTTTCTCTTTTGAATTACTACTTCTTTCATACTCCATATATATTTGTTTCTATTATACATTTGGTAATATATATTTTTCTCAGAAAATTTTAGATCACCAGTTCGACATCGATATATTTAACAACTAAACGGAGAAGAATTCTATAAGACCTAGTCTTTCATTCTAATCCTCTTCTTTGAATATTGTCAAATTTTGTATGTGTATATATTTCAAATGTTATTATGTACATATTCTGAGAATAAATATGTTTAAACGAAAGGGAATTTAAAGGGAACATTTTGTAGGATTATAATTATCATTTTTATTATTATTATTATTTATAAAATGCATTATGTGCATCATTCTGTTTCTAATTTTCATTAAATCAGATTCATTTTTTAACGACTTGTCATTGCTAAAGATAATTAATGCATTTTTATTAACGTGTGTATAATATGTACAGCAAAATTAGCAGATATTATTTCGTAAACAGATTGCTCTCCTTTTTACTATCTATACTGGAAAAAATTACTTTATAAATTTTGTTTTGTATTATTTTCCGGATGGTTCGTTACATCTTGGAGTAATAAATTATTAATTTATTATAATATGAATTGCCGTTCTTACATTCCACATTTATTCAGACACATTTGAGACTTATGAAAACATTGCGACAAACTTGCGCAGATCTCTTGTATGATACATTTTGCTGTACCATATGTGAATGATTCCTTCAATATTTCAGCCATACGAAGAAGCTGCTGCAACAATTTGTTTACTTTTGTTCATCATCATAGTTTGCCTGAATGGACTTGTAATTTACACCCTCGTGTTCAGAAAACATGAAAAGAGTCGCCTCCTCTATTTTGTACTGAATTTAGCAATAGCAGGTGAGAAAAACTTTCCTTTTGTTTACCGTAGATTCTTATCAAAAGTTAAACTGTGTGTTTGTTTCTTTATATTTAAGTTTTGTTAATCTCATAAATATTCAGTTCTTCATATAAGTATGTTAGTTCAAATCCAAATATTGATACATCAAGATGTATCTTAAATACATATCCTTAGCAATACATTCAAGATAATGAAGCTGAATATTGTGACTTAGATAACCTGCAATCAAAAGTACAATTTTCACGTTAGGTGAATGATAAGTTTAATCCATAGTAAAACTTTGGGTAACGAATGGATGAATGTACAGTAAAATTACCCGCTTACAATTACTCTTGTCTTACGTCTGCTTAGTTTGTACATTAACATCGTTGGTTATAATTTAAATTTCAGATTTCCTCGTGGGTGTATGCAGTGTTCTTGTACTTGGTATAACTAGTGCAATGCATAAAGAATGGTATGGTGGTGACATTATGTGTAGACTTAATCGTTTTATGTCAACAACGACTGTGATTGCATCTAATAATCTTCTGATCAGCATGAGTGTAGACAGATTTCTGGCAATTAAGTATCCATTGAATGTTCTTAGAATAGGTATGTTGTTGTTGTATTTCATTACTAAATAAAAAAACTATAACGTCATTTATTAAGAGAACTTCTCATCCCACCGATGAAACCCTTTTATTATGAAAACAGACCAAAAATGTTTCGGAAAATACAAGCTTTTTTCTCTTATGTTTTCGTACATGCTTCACGCATAATTTTATTTATTTTTTTTTTGAAATTATACACTCAGTCATTCGTTTCGATTCAATTTGAAAAATCTTATACAAAACAAACATTCTAATAATAATACATGTAGATCTATACTCTTTGTAGTAACCTTAGTCATTCATTTCAAGACGAATGATTATCAAACGAATTGAATGTTAATTAGAGAAAATAATTATATGATATATCTATCTTCGCAGGTATTCATAGGTATATGAACAAGTGCTTGGTCGGAGGGGCATGGCTTATCAGTATAGTGGCCTCAAGTTTTTTCATAATTTACAGTCAGGGAGTAAATGCAAATCCAAATGGTGCTGATATTTATGAACAAAAAGGTGGCTGTAAAATTAAATTTCCAGATAATTGGTGGAAGGTAATACAGCGGTTGGCAATATTGAAAACAAGCGTTAGATAGATTTTTTAAAAAAAAATATCAGATCAAATATAATATGAATGACAAACGAATATGAATGTGCATATATCTGATTTGACTAATGATAGGTATTTCACAAGATATAACAAATGTATTGGTATCATTGTGAATGATATAGGTAAAATTCTACACATTTTAAATAAGAAACAAGCGTAGGGGATATATGAGTATGATTATTAACAATAAAATATTATTACGATGTTTTGTCGATTTCTTGTCAAAGTGTTTTCTGCAGAAAACAAATCACTTACACATGCTTTTCACTTGATTTTATTTCAAAGCCGTATAGTTTAACAGTTGCAGTAATAGTCTATGTTTTACCAACAATCGGTATAACAGTATGTTATGTGGGTATATGTATCATAGTTTGGATGAAATGGCGTTCAAGAGTGAAATTATCAGAGATCAACACCGATGCAAGCAGAGGTATGACTGACAAAGTATCATTTGTTTTCCAATAAGTTAAGAATTGTTTACTTGACATTTATAGGGCAATAGACTTTGAATTATTATAACTGTTATCATTTTAAATTCCTTAGTTAGAGTTGATTACACAGTCCTTCAGCTATGTCGGACACATTGTTTATAATGTTCGCAGTCAATCGCCTACTACTTTTCAACGTCTCCCTTGGCAATTGACGACACCAACGTCCTTGAAAATTTATTTTTCTGTCTCTTACTTAATTTTCTTTTTCCTATTTGTCAATCGACCTTTCTTAATCACTTATGTCAATCAAATAATATGCTATGGATACATTAACCTTCTTTTTCCATTATCCCTTTCAATGTTATAGTCAGTTTCTCGAATAAATACTGACACAATTTCTTATTGATCGAACATCGTGACGTTCCGACGGCATAATTGTAACGCGAGATTTATTTTCTTTTACAAGTGACATATGAATTGTGATTGCAACGATAAATGTGGTTTGAATAAAGTGATTTTTTTTCTGACAACGTCAAATACGGCTCATGACGTTTCAGCGTATTTTGAAATCAAATTGTAAAATATACGCTTCATGCTCAAATTTATGCACTGCACCGGGTGTGCGTTACCATGTTTTTTTTAATTCGCTGTTACGTACAAGCCATTTGCGTTATCATATTAGATACAGCATCCGTTTACAGATTAATTGTGATATGTAACAATAAATGATTATTTGAAAATTATTCAATTGACAGCCCGAAACCGGTTTATTTTGATCATCCCTCGTATGTCCTGAATACTTTAAAATCTTTTTCAATTTTTAGGCATACATATATATTATAAGGAGGATTAAGCATTTGCACTATTTACAAGTAATATTTACAGGAACACTGATCACTTCCACTACACTTTAGTGTAATTTAATCAGGATGCTAACGCTTTATCAGAATTTTGTGCTTAATTTATAGGCGGGACTTAATATGCTAAGTGTTCTATCTCATGATTCAAATTATCGAATAAACATTTTTCAGCATTACTACAATAAATATTTTCAATTATACACTATATATTTTCATATATAGAACATATTTATAGAAAATTATTGCAACACATTTTTTTTATGATGAACAAATGTTCATTAGGTATGAATACATATTATGGTATAGAATATAAAATTAAAGTTATAAAATATAGATACTGGATATGGACCAAAAATTAGATTTATTGAATTTTGCAACGTTTAACATGCATTAGTTCACTTTATGTCAAGATAGGTTACAATTAGAACATCTCGACAAATGATTGATATCTTAATATCATATATCATTACAGACCGACTTCCAAAGGCTAAGATAAAGAGCATCAAAATGACAATGGTCGTTTGTTTGGGTAAGTTATATACTGTATTACAAAATAAACTAAGCGTCAACTTCATTAAACACTGCATGTTTTTTTATCAGAAACTGTCACAATTTTAGCTAACTGCATTTAATTTCTTTAAAATTTACACCAATACCTATTACAGTGTATTATATACATGTACAAGCTGTATTTACTTTATGTAAAAGCTAATTACCATTTTTGAATATTTAAAAGGGAAACACATTAATATTGTGATGTAAAATTATACATTCTTGTAAATTTACTAAATAAAATATGTTTATAATAATAGTGTTAAATGACTTTTGTTCATTTTTAGTGGAAAAATAAATCTTATTGTCATTTAAAAAGAAATTCGTAGTTTATATATAATTAGTAAGATTATACAGATCATTTAACTGACAAATATAAATAAGATCAAAGCAAAACAGATGATAAATAATCTACATGAAGCAAGATGCCTGAGTAATGTAAACTTCTATTTTTTATTCTTTTTTTATCTTTCAGCCTTTTTCTTATGCTGGACACCTTATTTTGTAGTAATGTTGATGCACATTTTTCACCCAGGTACGGTGGGACAGAAATTATCTCTTTTATTCAACTGTCTATACCCACTCAACAGTGCCTGCAATCCTCTCATATTCATGTTATTCAATCGCAAACTGTTCTTGTTCACTTGCGACACTTAGGGACAAAATATCAACATACTGTACAATCGTATGAAAAGAGGAGCACACAAATGACGTCAACTTGTCTAGGTGCTTGTATTTCGTCAGTACTCGAGATGCTACACGTTGGAATAAGGAGATCAAATAAATCAAGTCACGGAAATGAGTACAGCCTTGATTAATAGTTTATTGCTACAAAATTTGAAATTTAAATAAAACATTGAAAATGTCATGCTTTATGCTACGAAACATGTCTAATATATTACAAAAAACAACATTCATTGCCTGGTTGCATAGGAATGTTTCTTGTATTGAGATTACTACTTCAGATATTTAAGCAACACCATATATATAGTTCATCAGAACTGAACATTAGTTTTTATACGTTTTTAAGCTGCTGCAACAGTCCGTCCCATTTTTATCAATAATCCAATTTGAAATTCTATTTGTACTAATCGTGTATAGTTTTTATTCAACACGGATAATACATGCTTTATTTTTTTTTAAACAACAATTACACACTTTAGTATATCTAAATATATAAAACGAATATGAAAGATGAATATTGTTTAAATACGTAGTAAAATACGTAGTTATAAATATCCTGTTTGAGTATGTAAATATAACTCACCTAAATAACCTGTTTTAATGTGTCAATACAGAAATCATGTTTGAATAATTATTAGATTGTAGTTTATCATGAAGCAAATATAATTAATTTTTTACAGAACTAAACTGATATTATTGTATCATTATCATCACGTACTTTATAAGTTTTATAAAATGGCAACGTACAACATCATGGGATTGGTTGTTATAGCTTGCTACTATATTTAGAACAGACACAAATACATGTGTATTTACGTGATTCAAAACATCATATAATAAATAGATACAAACATTTATTGAATAAAATATGCTTGATATGTTTTTCTTATACATCATAAACAGACATGACATTCAAAGGTAAATTTAAAGAGGAATTGGTACCAGCCAGCCGGAAAAAAGTATAAAAAAGAATCTAATAAGCCCATTAGTCAACAATAATGTCCTGCTGAACAATATTCAAGGATAAAAAAATATTGAATTTGATTGAAACTGTTCATAGATGGTAGTGATAAATACATTCAAAGTTCACGCTCACTTGTACCGGCAAAGCTGATCAAAACATTTAAAAATTTGAAAATTCTGTCATTCCTATAACAAATGGAGTTAATCGAAGAATACATTATTTTTGTGTCCTAGTTATATTAAGCAGAAGACTATTGTCGAAACTAAAATGATGCACATTTGAAAGTCTTACTCGGGAAACACTAAACACTTATCTAAGAAATGTCCGTCAAGTATATCTTTCCTTTATATAGAAAGTATTATTATTTGAAGTTATTGTAGAAAAATATCATGTCAAATTGTTTAAAAGGCGAGTGAATGAGCGAACGTAAAAAATGATGTTATCAACTCTCAGTAACTTTCAAGATGGCTGCTGGTTGGATGAAATGAATTCACTTGTATACAAAATATAACATATAAAATATAATAATTATTCGCCATCAGCAAAGCTTAACATTGAAGATTTTAAACTCAAGACAAAACATGACACTCAGAAATTCAAAAAATATTTTCAGATTGAATGTAGAAAAAAGATCGGATCGGTGGCATAAGGACCTCAACATCATTCTTGAAAGCACAAAAATTCATAATAAACTGGCATTAGATCTAAAGATTGTTCTAAAAAAAAACTCTATTTATCGATAAATACAACAATAAAACAAAATTTTTCATATTTATTTTGTGTTAGATCTCTCATGTTTTAAAGTTAATAATGTCATAATAATCAACTATTAATACCTTAATGTATTTCATATTGACTTCCGACATTTCTCCTCAATTCCTGCTGAAGAAACACTTTTGTACACTCAATCCCCTCAAATTAAAATTCCCTTTTTTACATTGTCTTACAGAAATATATTTTTGATTGATTAAATCATTCTTATAAATGTAAACAAGCATATCAGACCAACTTATCACAATATTTTATTACATTTATACATAATAACCACATTTTCCATGATAATAATAATTCGACTGTAGTAATATAATGGAATTTTATTCATAAAACGTGTGTACACTCGAAACTACTCATGCGGCTAATGTTGACCATAATAATGTATAGTATTTACACGATGAAGTGTAATTCTTTTATTTACACGTTTTGTAATATAGCCTTCACATCTTCAACTGTCAAAATTGTATGTCGGCATGACTGATACCATACACATTTAATTTAAAATAAAGTGTCATCTAATCCAGAATTAATTGCAATCAAGCTACTGTCGTGTGGTCACACTTAACAATAGGACTATGTACATGCATTTTCCTATTTCATATATTTCCAATCTGATTTATTTATCATGTACCTCTTCTTCCTTCCTTTCTCTCTTCTTCTTGTGTCACTTTTATCTATGGAGTTCCTCACCCAGAAATAATTACCACCCTGGTGTTACATAATGTCCCTGAACATGTATATATCCAGGGTGAGGTTCGGTTTTAATTTGTTTTCTTATATCCGAGAAGATATTTTTATTTATTTTTTTCAAACTCTGGGTTTATTTTCTTCTATATAGAGCAGGCGATATTCACAAAAATCCTGGTCCCGATCTAAATAGCTCAGACTCTTTTAGTTATACATCTTCCTCTTCAACGGTAAACGAAATCTTAGAGAGTTTCAATAACTCCTTATCAATTGTCCATTACAATGTCCAGAGTTTCTTCTCAAAGAAAGATATCGTACAAGGATAACTACAACATTTTGATATAATTTCTGTCACAGAAACATGGCTTAACAGCAATATAGACTCGGAATCGATCTCTTTTGAAATTTTTTCTACTCCATTTAGAAAGGACAGAGTTGCTGATAACCATGGTGGCATTTTAGTATACGTTAAAAATAGCATTCCAGCCGTAAGAAGACAAGATCTCGAGATTAGTGGTATTGATTGTATTTGGATAGAGTTAACGATTCATCATTCGAAATTTCTTGTTGGCAGCTTCTATCGCCCTCCAAATTCTCCTGCATATGTTCTCTCCAATATTGAACGATCAATTGACCTTGCCTTTGATACTAGCATTAAGAATATAATAATCACCGGTGATCTCAACTTAGATATCTTAAAGACAGCATCATCCAAGAAACTACTTGATATAGCAAATCAATACAACATGACACAAATAATAAACGAACAAACGCATTTCACAGAATCATCTTCCTCTCTGATTGACGTTTTCCTTGTTTCTTCTTCGTGTAGTGTCCATGCTTCGGGTGTAGGTGATCCATTTCTTGAACAACAACTAAGATATCATTGTCCAGTATATTGCTTACTTAACTGTCAAAAGTCACATGCTAAATCATTTAAACGACTTATCTGGAAATATGATCAATGCAACTTTAATAATATGCGACGAGAAGCGGCTTCATATAACTGGGAATCCCTTGAAAGTGACGATATCGATACTTAAACTAGTAATATTACTGAAACCTTGATTACATTATCAAAAAACACATTCCAAACAAAATAGTTACTATAAGACAAACATACCCTCCTTGGATGCATAATGAAATAAGAAAATATATACGGAAAAGAAAAAGGGCATATGACAGAGCTAAAAAATCAAATAATATTGAACACTGGAACAAATACAAAACATTAAGAAACAAAACAACTCACCTACTTAGAAATGCAAAAACAGATTATACTAAACAATTATCAGAAAAATAAAAGGAGAAAATTTAAAAACAACAAATTACTGGAGAATTCTCAAACAATTCATTAAACCAACAGTAAATAGTAAAATTAAGATTTTGAATGATAATGGCACCATATTGACTTCTGACACTGAAAAAGCAAATTTACTTAACCAATTTTTTCCAATCACAATCCTCACTTGATGATAAAAATTTGTTTGTTTGTTTGTTTGGATTTTTACGGCACGTCAACACATAACTGGCCATATCGTGCCGAATGCTATAATAGGCTTAAAATATTATGTAAAACATTGTAATTGACAATAGAAATGAGCCAATTAGATCCTAGAATACAAGTTTATCTCTTTTAAATAATCAATTATGTTTTTTGATGGAATTGTATTAAAAAGTTCTTTGAGTGAATTTACAGAATAAAATCTATTACGGGCCTGTGAAAAATCATGACATTCAAGAAGAAAATGCTTGACATTAAAATTTTCATTACAACCTACACAGAAAGGGGCATTGTCATTTGTGAGGAGATAAGAGTGGGTAATTTTAGTGTGTCCAATTCGGCATCGAAGAAGAACTGTTTGATCACGGCGGTTTGACAGAGATAGAGATGGTGACATATCAAGAGATGGGTTTATATCGTGAAGTTTATTAAAAACGGCATTGTCCCAATTTGCTTTCCATTCAGATGATACCAGTTTATTAATAGCCGGTCTAAAATCACAAGCAGGTAACAATAAGTCAGTTTTTTGAAAATTTAATGATTGTTTAGCTAAAGCATCTACTTTTTCATTTCCTCGTATTCCTACATGGCTTGGAATCCAATATAATTTAACATATTTTGTTTTTAGTATATCATGAAATCGCAAAAGAAGTTTCTTTACCATGATATTGTCAGATTTTTTATTTTTAATGGATATTAAAACAGAAAGCGAGTCAGAAAATATCACAAATTTATCGTGGGTATGCTGTGCTATGTATGACAATGCTAAATCGATAGCTTTTGCTTCAGCAGTAAAAATTGATGCATTATCTGGTAACCTCATACTAGATGTAAAATTATTTTCAAACACAGCCACACCTACTTTGCAATCTTCTTTTGAACCGTCCGTATAAATATGTATAAAATCTTCATGTTCTTCCTTAATTGCTAGAAACTTCTCTTTGAAATATTCAGGTGAATTTGATGCCTTTTTTATATTTGAAAGGTTAATATTTATTTCCGGGGAATTATATGTCCAAGGTGGAACATCCTCATCGTCATTTTGAAGGATACTGTCTGGATTAATTTTAAGTTTATCTAAATCATCTTTTAAACGAAGGCCTAATGGTTTAATTTCCTTTGGTTTGCTTACAAATTTTTCAGTATAACTTGGTTTGAA